AAAAGCCTTTTAGTTTAACTAAGTCCAAACCATTTATCTTTGTTTTATTGCATTTGCTTTTGGGTTCTTGGTCATGAAATCCTTGCCTAAGCCAATGTCTAGATGGATTTTTCCAACATTATCTTCTAGAATTTCTATAGTTTCAGGTCTTATGTTTAAGTCCTTAATTTATCTTGAGTTGATTTTTATATAAAGTGAGAGATGAGGATCCAGTTTCATTCTTCTACATGTGGCTAGTCAATTATCCCAGCACCATTTGTTGAAAAGGGTGTCCTTTCCCCACCTTATGTTTTTATTTGCTTTGTCGAAGATCAGTTGGCTATAAATATTTGAGTTTAGTTCTGACTTATCTATTCTGTTCTAGTGGTCTATGTGCCTATTTTTATACCAGTACCATGCTGTTTCGGTGACTATGACCTTGTAGTATAGTTTGAAATCAAGTAGTGTGGTGCCTCCAGATTTGTTCTTTTTGTTTAGTCTTGCTTTGACTATGCAGGCTCTTTTTTGGTTCCATATGAATTTTAGAATTATTTTTTCTAATTCTGTGAAGAATGATTGTGATATTTTGATGGGAATTACATTGAATTTGTAGATTGCTTTTGGAAGTATGGTTATTTTCACAATATTGAGTCTACCCATCCATGAGCATGGGTTGTGTTTCCATTTGTTTGTGTTATCTATGATTTGTTTCAGCAGTGTTTTGTAATTTTTCTTGTAGAGGTCTTTCACCTCTTTAGTTAGGTATATTTTTAAGTTTTTCTCTTTTTTTTTTTACAGCTATTGTGAAAGGTTGAGTGCTTGATTTGATTGTCCACTTGGTCACTGTTGGTGTATAGAAGAGCTAACAATTTGTGTACATTAATCTTGTATCTGGGAATTTTGCTGGATTCTTTCTATCAGTTCTAGGAGCTTTCTGGAGGAGTCCTTGGGGTTTTCAAGGCAAACAATCATATTGTCAGCAAAAAGTGACAGTTTGTCTTCTTCTTTCCTGATTTGGATGCCTTTTCTTTCTTTTATTTCTTGTCTTATTGCTCTGGCTTGGACTTCCAGTACTATGTTGAAGAGGAGTGGTGAGAGTGGGAAACCATGTCTTGTTCCAGTTCTCCGAGAGAATGCTTCCAATATTTCCTTATTCAGCATCATGCTGGCTTTGGGTTTGTCATAGATGGCTTTTATCACATTAAGATGTATCCCTTGTATGCTAATTTTGATGAGAGTTTTAATCATAAGCAATGTTGGAATTTGTTGAATGCTTTTTCTGAATCTATTGGGATGATCATGTGATTTTTGGTTTTAATTCTGTCGATGTGGTGTATCACACTTATTGACTTGTGTATGTTAAACCTTGTCCACATCCCTGGTATGAAACCCACTTGATTATGGTGGATTATCTTTTTGATATGTTGCTGGATTTGGTTAGCTAGTATTTTGTTAAAGATTTTAGCATCTATGTTCATCAAGGTTATCGGTCTGTAGTTTTCTTTTTCAGTTATGTTCTTTCCTGGTTTTGGTATTAGGGTGATGCTGGCTTCATAGAATGAATTTGAGAAGTTTCCTCCTTTCTCTATCTTGTGAAATAGTGTCAAAAGGATTGGTACCAATTCTTCCTTGATAGTCTGGTAAAATTCTTCTGTGAATCTGTCTGGTCCTGGACCTTGGTAATGTTTTGAAGTTTATTGCCTTATATTATGCCTCTGAGGTTACTGATAGTGACTTTTAAGGGTTTTTAAAATTCTTTCCAATTTTGTAGGAATTATGGGAGGGCAATTTACTACAGCCTTAACGAAGTTGAATAATGCCTCCTGTCCATGGTCCTGGACTTGTATTGCCTACTTGACCACCAGTGACCCAAGACCAAGACACTCTATTCTGCCACTGGTCAAACCCTAAGTTCATGATAGGGTGTTGAAATAGCCCACTGTGGCATAAAAAAGGACAAACGTATCCTTGAAATGTCCCCCAAATGTATCTTGTTGTTTAGGAGGGGAGGTATTAATTTAACCCTTTACATCTTTCACTAAAAACTTATCTCTTTCAGGGTCTGAACTCCACAGAAATGAATGTTCTAATTAGAAAATAGTAGCTAATCTGGCCAAATGCTAATAAATGAGAGTTGTGATTTATCTAGTAGCAGGGAAACAGCTCAGCATTAACAATTAAAAGGTCTGTAGAGGACAGAGCTTTTTTTTCCTTACTCTTCCCCTTAGCTGATTGAGTTCATCCCTATGCTATAAATAGCCCTTCTAATTAATGGCTATCTGTTTGAAAATCAGTTATCAGGACCACAGTTTAGGAGACTTTAACGTTGAAATTCATAGAGACTATTTTGTGTCTCAGTGATAAGGGAATGATAATGTGAGTTCAAAGCTAAACCTAGCTACCCACCAACACCAACCCACGTCATAGCCTACCAACACATTCTTCAATCCTCATGATAATGGATACAGATTTTTAAATAATCAATCCAACTGCAAAGAGAAGTACTGAACTTTAATATAGCCAGAATGTTTGGCTAAAGCCTGTTGCACTCCAGTCATTTCATGAATCTATAAGCTAAAGTCAAAATTTATTTCAAAGGCATGAGTTTGCAATTAGCTGAACAAGGTCTTTTAGAGACCCCCAAAGAGTTCATTTTTTTCTTACATTGAACGAATTAACTGTGTGGTTACTAAAGTTCTTCTTCATTTTAACCTGACTGGACACAGAGTCAAAGGGGGAAAATAGCATGTTTAAATCAAATTGAATAGCCATCTTCTAGACAATACTCCCCAGAAGGACCCTCCTTGGGAAATGCCACTCAATGCTAGAGTAAATCTCACATTTTGGTGAAGGGCTTGTCGTTCACAGTAAAAGATGCTTGCACATCTTGAATGTTTTCTTCCCAGAGCGTACCATATTGTTTCATGACATTAAGCATTTATTAAAACTGTTTCCACTATGTAGATTACCTTTTCTGGCCAGCTTGCATGTCATCTCGTCTATTAGGCCCCCAACATCACCATCATCCAGCCTCCAACCTGACTGATAACTCCCTTCCTCAGGTCCTCACTCTATCTGTACATTTTTCTGTATTAATACCAGTAATCTTTACTTCTACTTGATTGATTTCTTATCCATCTCTCTCCAGCCAGGTCTTATTCTTACTCAAATGCACAATTCCTGTATGCTTGTTGACTATGCAAGTGATTATTGAACAACTGCTGAGCACCTAGTCTTTGCTAATGCTTGGTAAAATTCAGAAAGACAGATTTTTTTTATTTGTTCTCAATTTTTAAAAATTTGTTCTGATAAACCAATGAGGAAGACAGACTTCTCTACAACTAGACACAGAAAGCCAAAAAGAGGGGTCTATGCAGGTGATGAGGCTGAGCTGTTAGTTAGTGAGGCAGCAAACACATAAAAGCTCACCATGATTTAATGTCTCTTCTATGATTTTCGTAATCAAAACACACATCTTTCAATGTTTTACACTGCTTTCTAATGTCTTTGCATTAGAACTCAGACCTGTGCTTCTAAACACCCAGTTTTGTAATGTGCACACAAATCACTCAGTGATCTTGTTAAAATGCAAATTCTTATTCAGTAGTTTTGGGAGGGGCTTGAGATTCTGCATTTCTAACGAGCTCCCAGGGAATGCTGATACTGCCGATCCATGAATGCCTCAAGTAGCAAGGCTCTACACTACTGTAATGTCAACGTAAACATTGTTGAAGTGGCACCAGTTTTGGGAAAAGCTTCTGGTCTCCCTACCTAGACTCTTCTGACTGTAATTGAACATGATCAACGTTACACCAAGAGAGGTAGATTCAGCAGTGCCTAGAAAAAAACTGGCAAGATGTCTCGGTGTTTTTACCTCTTGGCCTTTGTTTTATTATCTAAACACCAAAAGTCTTTGCTCCTGCACTTTGGGTCTGCTGCTACCAGCTGAGTGCAGTCTGAAGATGCAATAAGTTTTCCCAGATAGTCAAGATTGCCTTTTTCTGCTTAAGTCTCTTCCCATATATAAACCATAATATCCCAGGCTCTTTATGGAAATAGAAATACCTTCTAACAAAACTATAAAACTTTAATCAGTTTAAACAATCATAAAGAGAATATTTAAATGAATTTTACGAAAGAAAAAAAAAAAAACAACTCTGGGCCAGGCATGGTGACTCATCCTGTAATTTCAACTCTTTGGGAGGCCAAGGCAGGAGAATCACTTGAGCCCAAAAGTTCAAGACCAGCCTGGGCAACATAGGGAGACCCTAGCTCTTCAAAAACAATTTTTTTTAATTAGTTGAGCATGCACCTGTAGTCCTAGTTACTCCGGAGGCTGAAGTGGGAAGATAGCTTGAGTCTGAGAGTTCGAGGCTGCAGTGGGCCATGATCACACTACTGTATTCCAGCCTGCATGACGGATTGAGATCTTATCTCAAAAACAAAAAAGAAAGAAACAAAAATGGAAAACTTCTGTAAGCTTCCCATGGGAATCTATTTTCTTAACTCTTAATCATTCTGTGAAATCCATTAACTTTTCAATCATTAGAGTCTACCACTCAAAATGAAAGTCAAAATCCGTTAGACCACTAAGTTCTCATTTGTGAGTTTTGAATTCTCCTTCCACGAAGACAAGATCCCTACTTGAGCTTTTATCTTTTGTATTTCTTCCTCTCTTCTCCACATGATTCTTGAGCACTATTCTAGCCCAAGCCAAGTGTTCTATGTATGTCTTCTTCCAATCCGGTAGCTGTCAGAACTCCTCCCATCTGCTGTTCAACTTTGCCTAGCTGTAATATGCTATTAAACCGGCAGTCTTGGCTATGTGGTCTCCTCTTGTACACTTAGTTTTTGCATCATTTTCTCTGACAATATAATGGTAAGTAGAACAGAAGAGGAACTCTTTTCACTGGGCAGAACATATAGAAGGCACTGGCAGCCATAGCTTGTGCCATGCATAGTCTGAAGTAAACAAACTTAAATGAACTTTCTTCCTCCTCGCTTCTCATGGACTCATTTAGGTGAATGCCAAAGATGACGAAGGTGTCGTCGTTGGATCCTGGGACAATGTCTATGCCTATGGTGTCCCCCCATCAGCCTGGACTGGAAGTGTTGACATTCTATTGGAATACCGGAGCTCTGAGAATCCAGTCCGATATGGCCAATGCTGGGTTTTTGCTGGTGTCTTTAACACATGTAAGTATCCCATTGAGTAATTTCTTTTTAATGTAAAGGGAATTTCACTTTAAGACATTTTATCTATAACCTAAGAGAGACATAGCAGCCTCTGTTGGCACTATGGAATTCATGCATGAGTATTCTGGGATGTAGGCAATCCATAATTAAATCGTAGTGGGCCAAATATGCTCATGGTTTCTCTTTGACTGCAGAATCTTTTTAGAAAGAATGATAGACTATTTCCTGTGTAATCCGTCATTTAAGGCCCAAAGAAATAGAGGGTTAGAGTAACAATATAGGAAAAAAGCTGTTTTGTTTTCAGCCAGCACATTTAAAAAAACGAAAGTAGTAAAAACTAAAATAATAAATAAGGAAATATATATACTGCTTATTTGTTACTGAGAAGTTGTATAAATAAATATGTGTATATGTTTACTATTGAGACTTTCATAAATATATGCACTAAATTTTTATCCCAGTTATGGAAGGTATTATAGCAGGTGGTCTCATATTGATTTTTACATATGTCTCAATGCCCCTGAGCAATTAGAGATCAGAACGTAATGAAGAGTCTTTCCCTCTCTAGTTTCCCCTCTGGCTTTTAATCCACCCAACATCCAATTTTAGAGGAAAGCATATGAGAACAGAATTATTCTCTCCAGTGTCATGCATCATTTTTCAAAGTGGCATTTGCCTCTCTAGGCCCAGACAATATCACAATTAATTCAGTGAATATTTTTAAAAATACATCTGTTTCAGTATGTCTTCATCATTGATAATGATTTTCATTCACAAGCCATTTCTGCAGCCTTGGAGAAACACTAAGCTCAAGCTGGTGTGTCCTTTCTGCCTGCTCATTAATAAAGAATGTTTTACCTAGTTAACATTTTTAAAATCAAAAACAAAGGGAGGGGCTGGAGGCTGGAGGGAAGCCATTTAAAAAATGATTACAAAACCCAGTTGTTTTACCTCAAAGTCACAACAGTCTAATTTAAAAAAAAAGAGTAGCGAGATTTTTGTTTGTTTGTTTGTTTTCCCATAGTATCAAAAAGGATAAGATTATTTTCTTAGCCATTTTAATATAGCCCAGGGCAGAAGGAATATATATTTCTTGGGAGCAATAAAAATCAAAAGTGTAGTCCCCTAGAAGCACTGGTCTCTGAAGTTCCAGATAGAAGCCTGTACTTCATAGTAGGTTAAAGGCTGGAGGTTGTCCCGATCCCACAAGGCTCCCAAGTCAAAACTAAGTAGAAGATGCCCAACAGAGGCAGCAACCGCTCTTGTGAAATTATTTTAGGAAGACAGAAAGGACCCAAGTCCTCCCCATGCCTACAATTTCACTATCCAGTGTAATTCCTTCATGCTCACAGTCAGATAAAATAGTGAACTCTGGTCAGGTGTGGTGGCTCATTCCGGTAATCCCAGAACTTTGGGAGGCTGAGGCAGGTGGGTAATCTGAGGTCAGCAGTTCGAGACTAGCCTGACAAACATAGTGAAACCCTGTCTCTATTTAAAAAAAAAAAATTAGCCTGGCGTGGTGGCTGGCACCTGTAATCCCAGCTACTTGAGAGACTGAGGCAGGAGAATCACTTGAACCCAGGAGATGGAAGCTGCAGTGAGCTGAGATCACACCATTGCACTCCAGCCTGGGCAACAAGAGTGAAAGAAACTCTCTTTAAAAAAAAATAGTGAGCATCTTACATCCATTCATGTCTTTGGCATAAAAAGGTTATCCAATCTATGCTGGAAAGCAAACTTTGGTGGTAAATTAAGAAAAAGGCACTCACTGTGGGGAAACAGTGAGAATAAACCTGAAGATGGAAATCGGGAGGAAGGAACAGGTGCCCTAATGTCAAGCCTCACTTTCTTGAAATTATAAGTAAGGCAGACTCTTGACCAAGACGTGTTCTGGATAACGTGAATTAATGTTCAGTCAGACACAGAATGAAAGCGGCAATTGTTTTATTGGTAAGACCCTGGGTGAATAGGGCTGCAAATCAAGAGAGGAAGATGGGAATGGGAGGCCCATGGTAGCTGCCCCTGTTGTTTGGGGCATTAAGATCAAGTCCTTTAAGGAGGGGGACCCTTGAGCCTCTACCAGACTCCAGTTTGGACTTCCAAGGTTGTTCTGTTGAAGAAGGTGAGTAGTCTTTGGTTAAAAATGCTAAACTATTCTGAAGGAGAAAATAAAAAGGCAAGCCAAGTCATTAATCTTAAAATTGTCAGCTGAATTATTTTCAACGAGCCCTGATGTCTGGCGTCCTGGGAGCCAGGGAGGGCATTTGGATTAAGTTTAATCAATAGGTACATATGGCAAGAAAGGTATCCAAGTAATTTATTACCTAACAATTAAAATGAATCTGTGGCGTCACCCTCCAAAGCATGTCACAAGAGCAAATTCTGGCCAGGAGAGAAAACTCCATCAAGGACCTGCTCTGTAAATTCCTAACTTCCTATTACTGGGTTTGTGAAATTGTATTTTCAGGAACATAGTCCCATTCACCAGACTAAAATAATACTACATTGATGATCATATGCTTCGAAATAAAACAATTAGAACCCTGTTGGGTTTCTACTCTAGCTGCCTTCATTTAACGCCAGCTACAGTTCTGAAGGATCACACAGCAAGATTTCTCTCCATCGCCCCCTTTTCCAGCATGGAACATTTGAGGACAACATCTTCAAAGGGCTTTTCACATTGGTCATGAAGAAAGTCCCCTACAAGAATGGATTTAATCACTCTGTGTTTATTAAATGCTGGTGATGTGTTTAGCTATGGTCTGTCCTTTCCTGTAGTTTTACGATGTCTTGGAATACCAGCAAGAGTTGTTACCAATTATTTCTCGGCCCACGATAATGACGCCAATTTGCAAATGGACATCTTCCTGGAAGAAGATGGGAACGTGAATTCCAAACTCACCAAGGATTCTGTGTGGTAAGTTTGATTGGCAGCGACATTGGCTGATTATAGTAATGTTACACATTTACCACATTATAGTAATGTTACACATTTACCACAAGATAGACTCGATCTGATGTTTCTTTCTGTTCTGTTCTGAGGACCTTTCAATAGCATAGGCAGAAAAGTCTGATTGCCAAAGAATGTTTTAGCAAATGAATTAGAAATGCTACTGAAGAGACAGTTTCCTAGTGATAAAAATCAATCATTCCTTATAATAACAACCATCAAAAAAAGGTCATGATTTTAGCTACTGCATATGCCTATACTAGTTCCTCTCTACCTTGATATATTAATATTACAGTTAATAGCAGAAGTATTGGAGCCAAGCATTCTCTGGGTCAGTGCCCTAGGAGTAACATAGCTAACATTTATTAAGCACTTACTATGCACCAGTCTTTGTGTATGCATGATCTTATCCAATCCGTTTTAGTTTTATCAGGTGGATGTTATTAATATCCCCATTTACAGATGAGGAAACCGAGGCCCAAAAAGGCTTGCTCAAGGTCATACATCTAGTGAACTAGGAATAAATCCAAGTGCTTCTGACCCTTAACCACAATCTTTTAAATAACTTCATCAGAATAGGATTGCTTTTTGAATGTAAAGATGAGATTCTCCTTGATTATATTGTCACCTTTCATTGAGATATAGAAATGGAAGTAAAGCTGAAATTGTTTCCAAATACCAACCATGGGGTTCTCTCACTGCTCTGAGCAGGTTTATCACAAGCTGGCTAGAGGAAGCTTAAGATCCTAGAGAAATTCCATTTGTCCTTGAGACCCCCAAGTCCAAATTAATACACTAAAAAGAAAGGAAAAAATATCCTAAGTTTAAATAGAATTTTTATCAAGGTCTGTGTGGGAGGAAATTTGGGCATAATCTCCTCTGTGGTCAGGCATTGAACTAGGTAGAATTTCCAAGCCCAAAATGAGTCTCACACACAAATAATAAAGCTAAAACATCTATTATAAAAGCATCCAAATGTGGATGGTAGGAAGTTATAAGTTCATTTTAAGCAAAATGAAAAGTTAGAAGTGCCTGAACTTCCTCATGTTACAGGAATGGGTCACAGTTGTAGCAGCAGTATTAACTCACCAGTAGGGGCAAACATTCATTGGGGAATGTTAAAAGGAAATTGCTGAATGAGTAGCAAAGTGCTACCATGAATTAAAAATAGTACAGTTCATTGGAAGGGAATGAGCTGAGCCATAGTAAGCTGAAGGGTACGTGTAAGACAAAACCTTGTCTCTGTAAACTGAACAGAAATGCAAAGAATTCTTTAAGCCTGCAGCATTATAATATAGCAGCCCTACATGTACATGGGATGACAAAAACAGACCAAAATAGGCACCCCCAAAACTCATTGCGATTGTCAAAAATGACAAAAAGATAGTTATTTGGCATTCTCCATATCTCTTCCTTATACACACACACACACACACACACCCCTACACACACACACCTACACACACACACCTACACACACGTACACACACCTACACACACATGTACACACACCTACACACACACACCTACACACACGTACACAATGCCTTTAGTAGCTAAATGCAGTTCAAAGTTATCCTTCCCAGCTCCTTGATTCAAATACCTTCCATCATCAAATAAATCCCCATGGGGCACTCCAACAAATAACCCCCGAGGCCCTAAACAGAATTAATACGAAATAGTGAAGCTTCTAGATCTTGCTCTGGGTAACCCTGTCCTCTTTCAGTTTCCTGCTCCAAATTCCTTCCCCTTTCCCTTACACCATTTGTTCCTTTGGTGCCTTACTCAAATATCCTGTCACCCTGGGACTGTGCTTCCTGGCCTGGGACCCTCAGCCACCCTCCACTGTAGACCACTGCCCAAGACTCCTATTCCCTCCCTTTGCCTGGCTTCTAGTAGGTTTTCAATGAATGATGCCTGATCAAATGCTCTGACTGACTGCAGGGCTGAGGCCAGAACAACTCAGGACGTGCCCAGACCATGGAGTACAGAGATAAAAGGGCACAGTGAGATCCAAGGCCAAGGCTTGGCTCTGCTACTCCCCGAGCTGTGTGACCTTCGGCAAGGCACAACCTTTCTGTGCCTCTTTTCTCCTCTAAAGCAGAGAGAACAATATTCCCTGCTTCACTCAGCACAGAGCCGAGCATAACAGGTGCCTAATGAATGTTAGCTGCTATTATTGCCTTCATTATTAGTCACACAGCTGGAATTTCTTGGAGGCAATATGTTGCCATCAACCTAAGTACATCAAAGCTATCAGAAGAAGAGGGATGCCCAGTGTCCTAAGATGACTGCACTATCTCTGTTACTTTGGGGTATTTTTAAAGAAAAAGCAGAACTTGACCTCACCAGTGCAAGCACCATGAACCTTGGAAGTTATAGGTGGTCCACGAAAACAAGAGTATGACTGAGACCGTCCTGGATTGAGGAGGCTGGTGCAGGCTGTTTCAGACATGTCAGCCAGTGCATGATCACAACAGCCACATCCCTATGTCAGGCTCTAGCTTGGGCAGCTACCTGCCATGTGGCTTTGAGAAAATGACTTAAACTCTCTGAGCTTCAGTTTCCTCATCAGTAGGATGAAAGTAATCTTAGTAGTTACCATTTCCGGATGGGGTGGCTATCACGATTAAATCAGGTCATCCAGGGAGAGTGCTTACCATAGAGGTAGGCCTGATGCTGATTCAGTTAGTATTGGTCGCTGGTAAGAAGTGGGGGCTGCCTGAGCAGTGGAGCTGGTTTAGAAGTGTGAGGGTGGGGCACGGAGGCGAAACAGAGGCTGAGGTGGGGGTGGGAATGATTCGCTAGGCATCAGCTGACCTCTGTGAGGTCTGTATAGTGTAGGCTGGCAACATGTGGCCTGATGGATTTCCTAGTAAGGGTCTCAGGAGCCATTGGGCTCACACTTACCTCCCTCTGCAGGCTCTGGTCAAAGCCACCCACCCCAAACTGTCTTCCCTGCTCCTGGTTGGTGTGGCTGGGGCCCCTCTCCTCTCCAGGTAAAGGAGATCTGAGAACGATCTCTTGTCCTTCACCATCTATTTTCTCTTCAACACTCAGGTCCCAAGGTTCCACAGTTTGTGATCAATCAATTTGTCCAGTTAGGTCTCAATGATTCAGGGTGTCCTCTTCTCCATGACTCAGCCAGATACCAGTCTGCCAAAACCAGAATCAGCCAGTAGGGAGGCTCAGAGAAAGAGTTCAAGAGTGTGTGAGAGGTGTATTCTGCTCCCCGCACTCCAAAGCCAGAAGTGACAAGTTTGGCTCTGTCTCTTGCTGTGACCTTTCTCCCCATATTTCTGCAGACCCTCAAGGACAGACTGCTTCCTGATTTGTCACTGTAGGTCCCCTGAATGATGGTTGTTCCCCTCTAAGAGAGAGCCTCATCTCAAAGGGGCTGCAGTTTTGCATAGGGCAGCCCTGCTGTTGATGTCAACAGAGGCCATGGTCCAGGCTCCTTAGCTGTTCAGAAGAGGGCTGGGGACTCAGGATACTCAGAAGGGCACAGCAGGCCAGAGTCATTAGATCCCAGGGTAGCAAATGAAACCCCAAGTGGGAAAATGCCAAGTAGTAGATCATGGAAGGAGCAATTTCGGCCGCCTGTCCCCAGCGTGCTGATGAGTTCTGAATTATGTGTAACCTCTTGGGGGTAGACAGCTATGAATCACTGTGGACAGTTTAATGAAGACGCTTGCTTAATGTTTAGCTGCAGTCCAAACAGCAAATAGAAATATGAGGGCTCAGTGAGGCGGGAGTCAGGGCTGCTCAGAGGGGCAGGGGGATAGCAAAGGTTTGGCCTCGCCTTAGAAGAACTTAGCTTGATCACCTCGTTATACAAAAGTCACAGTCAAATGGAAACAATTTTAAAAGACAGAGATGGTGGCACTTATTAGGATCATGAAAGGTTTTTCAATGAAAGACTTCGCTCCTTCTAAATGAAAACGCCTCCCTGTGTTCTTCTGCTAGAGTCCGTGTGGTCTGATTGGATGATTCTGGGTGAGGGTTGGTGTCCTCCTCTTGGCTTTTCCACACCAGAATCCACCCACACACAGGGGGAGCAGTGTTTGATCTGTTATATTTTTGTTGTTTTGTCAGCATGTAACAGTGTGCAGGGCATAGAGCAAGCACTGAATAAACGGAATTGGTTGGAAAAACATTTGGGGAGGGATAGCCTGGGGAGAAATGCCAAATGTGGGTGAAGGGGAGAAGGAAAGAAAAGCACACTGCCATGTGTGTTCCTACGCAACTGTCTGACATGCTCTGCTCATGTACCCCAAAACCTAAAATCCAATAAAAAATTAAAAAAAAAAAAAAAACTCCATGCGGTAATGAATGGGTGGTCTTAATCTATAAATAAAGCTTTTTCAAAGCACATTTTTCCAGCAGAAATTAACCAGCTTTCATACCTGGGACACTGGCCTAACCTAATTCTCATTATGTCCTCAGTACTCACATGGCGTTTTATACATTGTAGGTGCATTTTTGAAATTGAGGCTATTCTTCCTTTACATTATTTTAGATGTTCTCTATCACTCATCTAGTTGGACTTTTATATTGTAAACTATCTTCAGTTTTAATCACTGTCTGCAAAACAGAATGATCTAAAAATGAATTCCAAATAAAATAGTGTAGAAGAAAAATTCTGAATATAGATCACATTGCTTAAAAATGCTTAAGCGTTTGTAAAATTATCTTACGATGCATCACAGTTGCCAGTTCTGGACAGTTATTGAAGATGTTTATTTTCAAACATTTTCTTATTAACCATATTTCTGGCTATTCAACATTGGTTTTAGGCAAATCACCTGGAGTTAGACCATGAGCTTTATCATTAGAGGACTGAGAATATACACTGAAGGCACTAATGGTGTTGGGAAAAAAAGTTATTTGCCACCTTCAAAGAGTAAAATAGCTCATGATTACAAAATACTTTTTTTTACATTGGGTCCTGATTTAAGTGCTGACAT